TTATTATTTATTAATAGCTTTGTTATCTATGAATGGTACCGTAGAACGGGGTGACTTCGGACGATTTTTAAGGTATTTTCAAATTTTGAATCGGTAATGTTTGTTATTTTGAACTAAATTTTTTACAGGGGATTTTGGCATCCTTCCGGTATAAGTTTACGTAAAAATTATAATAATCATACAAATATTAATACTACTTTTTTTTTGTCAAAGTCTGTCCGAAGTCACCCCTTAAGGTGGGGCGATTTCGGACAAGCGTTGTAAAATGTATATAATTGAAGCTAGCACATTCAGTGGCGACTTCGGACAGAAATATTGCTTTAAAAAAAAGTAAAAAGCATAAAATTAGGAAAAAAAAGCATGAAATTAGGTAAAAACTCATTTAAATGGAAAAGGGCATTTTATTTATCAAAATATAAAATAAAATTGAATTCTGAGGATCAAAAAAATAAAACAAATATATTTCTTCTTATACCTAATACTAGTATATTAAAAAAATTGTCCTCCGTATAGTTTCTGTAAAAATTGCTCTCCAACATTTTTTTATAGACCCTAACCATGTCCGAAGTCGGCCCCTAAAATGCAAATATTTGTTTTACAACCCTGTATAAAAGTTAATGTGATACGAACGTAAACCAAAAAAAAATAATTTATCAACAAAATTACGTACTACCGAAAATCCATATTATTTTGATCATACTGTGCATACTTAATTGCTGGCACCAGTTACTTTTACCTAGTTATAAAAGAAGTAAAGTTTGAACTCTAGACTAAACGATGCAAAAAGCTTATTTCACTTAACAATCGAACCCACGTGCCTCTTGCCATAGCTTTAGCCATCTTCGACGAAGTTTTTTCCCGAATTACAGAACTCTGTTACGTCAGACGTCCCAATCGCGAATTTTTAATAGCTTTAAGGTACTGATGTCCGAAGTGGCCCCGGCTCACAGTGCGTCGAGTATATGCAGATGGGAATCAAAAATAATATCTTATTAATTAAATGTTTTTTTTATTATTTTTGACTATTAAAATATTAATATAAATAAATACTGTACAAGCAAATAACATTTTCTCTAAAAAATCTACAGGGCGATAGAAAAATGCATGTTTTAATTTACTCATATATTAAGGTTTATTAAAAAATGGTTTTATTAATAAAAAATGGTTCAAATCAAAAATATTTTTTTTTAATTTTATGAAAAAATGTTTTTAAAAATAAACTAAGTAGTATACAGTGTGAAACAAAACATAATAATTGCCTTTGAAATGAACGGAAACAAATAGAACAGAATGTCATTGACAATTTAATATTTAGTATGACACGAAGGTGCAGAGCAGTTATTAACAATCTAGGAGGACACACCCTCCATTGATAAAGTCAAAAAACTTTATTTATTGACCAGATGAAAGTTCATTAATCGAGATATTAGTGGGACTCGGAAATAATCCAGGATATAATAGATTTATTGTTCTACTTAGGATAATGTATTTATTCTCTGAAAAGTACGGATATAAATAAAGGGCTAACGCTTGTTGCACAGACAAACATTTTTTATGACTTGTTGAAGGTTTTGTTTGCGGAAATTTTTGCAGCAAAGTTAAGTTCAGCTGGACTCCAGTTTTTAAGTAAATCTTTTATTTTTGGTTTGAGTGGTACCGTCCTCAAATTTTTTTTGTGGTCTACCTCGACTTGTTTTAGGAGTAGAATTTTTGTTTTTAGTTATAAAGAGTTTAATATTTTCTGGAAAAGTAAACCTTTGCTTGAGCCAAACTTCATTCTTTTTGAGGAAGGTCGAACGCATTCTAGCACACTGTTTCTATTTATTTTTTACTGTGAGGCAAAAATATTTGGATGTTCTATTGATTTCTGCTTCGATAGTCTCTGGGCACTCATTTACATCTATATTTAACAAAAATTTTATTTTACTTGCAACTGCTTGGATCTTTTGTATTTTATTTGTTACCCATGCATCAAATATATCAGCATTAGTACCGGTAACCAAATCTGCAAAAAAGTATATCATCAAGGTCTGCAAGATTCTGCAAAAAACTAATGCAGTAACAAGTAATAGAAGGATGGACCTTGTAATTAGTATAAAAAAACTACATATGGTTTTCAATGTAATTAGTAAAAATCTTCGTAAATAGTTAAGTTAAAATTTTTAATGTAAATTTGCACCAATTTCTATTAAAATGTGATGTAAAAGGCCTTATTTAAATATATGCTAAAAAATAGCCATTCATAAATAAGCACTTACCTACAGAATCAACTTCCATCATAAAGTTTAACAAAACACTAATATTGGGTATAAATTAGAATTCATCAAACTACTAAACAATTTTCCTTAAATTTAACTAATCTTATTCCGTCTTTTCACAACCTTTAACTTTAATGCCTTGTATTTCAACGACAAATAACTTCGGCTAACTAAAATTGGTTATTGCCTATTTTTCATTTATAATTAATGACATGACAGTTATAAGAAATGATCCAAAGCCTACTTGTTTTTTTAATTTTTTACCACAGCTCGACGCACTGTGCGGCTGTCCGAAATCGCCCCGTTTTACGGTAGTGTACTAAATCACGGCGGTACGGTACCCCGTTATTGCCACCCTATTGAAGACGATTATTCTATCAGTAAAATTCTTATTAACAAAAATTTTAAAACCAGACAACAATTGTATTAATTTATTTATTTTTAGCCTCCATCCGGAAGAATCCGAAACCAAATAATGCGACAGAAAACGAAATTTTACCAGAGTTGAGACAATGGTTGGCCCAAGATAAATTTAGGAAAAAAAGTACCTAAATAAGAAAAACCGATACTGAAGAAAGAATTTTTTTGTGATTCTTTACAAAGAATTTTTGTTTTGTTTATTTATATATTTGTTTATTTTATTTTTTTATTTAATATAATAATAATAATTTGTTTATTTATATCAATTATTTTTAAAATAAATTTTTTTTTAAATAATTTTTATTAAGAACTGTACTATAAAAATTTTATAAAAATTTTATAAAATTTTTTGTATTTTTAGCGTGCAAAAAATATATCTCCAGCTATGGTATTTCACTGTTTTACTATATCTGCTATGAGAATACCACATCTACTTTTTGCACTCCAACAAATGAAAATACAGACTGTATTTTACAGTACACAAAAAGTATCGGACGTCACACGGCTTTTATAAATGGGGCATTCCACGTTACTCGGTAATTTTTGTCCCGCCCGTCACAATTAAAAATTGTGTGTAAAAACCCCACGTTATTAAATTTATTTTAAAATATTGTTTATTATGCTTGTAAGCTTATAGGCACAATAAAAATAATATTATAAAATAATAATTTAATAACTAATGTTTTAAAAATGTTGCGGAAAAATATTGTATAAATATAAAAAGTGGGACATCTAAATGTTGTAAAAACATTTTATAGACATTTAAATGAAAATGAATAATATTTCTAAAATATTTAGTTCATTTAGCAAAAATATTCATTTAATATTTTATATATATTTTTGTGTTATGTGGGTTGTTTCATTTTTTGCTTGTTTTGTTGAGAATACTATCTAAACTGTATACCACACTGTCGTCAGAATAAAATCATGATTTTATTATCATACATTTATCATACAGACAACAAAATACAGAGGTGAAAATGACAACTGTCAAAATGATAGGTGCCTAATATATTTTTTCTACTCCCACCTTTAAAACGCCTTTTATCGTACTTGTTTTTATGAAACTAAGTGACCTTTTAAATACACATTGACAAGTTATGGCTTTATGGCGCTTTAGTCACGGGCTGAAGTTAGAAACAGGTTTTTAGTCACGGGCTGAAGTTTTAAGTTTTAAGTTAGTTGACAGTTGTCAAATGTCATACAATCGTTAAAATAAGGTGCCTTTCTTGTAAAATAATACTAAATGTAAAAATTATTTTATTATCTCAATACAAAAGTATTAAATAGTTTCTCAACGCCAATATTTGAAAAGTTTATATGAACATTGTACTGACCTTTTAATTTCGCCGGCAGTAAACTATGACTTAAATTCGGGCACGAACTCCACTGTAAAGTGCTCATAAAACATTTTCTTTACTTTCACTGTGAAAAACTGTCAATTTCCAAGAAATACATTTCGATTTATAACCTTTATAATGTGTTTATTAAATATAAAAATTTGAAATTTGACGGTGACACACATATTCCCCTATTGTTTCATAGATGGCGCTCTATACAAATTTTTTATTAAAATCATTTTAAGATAATAATAAGTATTTGTCGTAGAAAAAGTATAGTATGCACCTCGTTTATAAACATTTCTATACACTCATTAATTTAAGCACTCGCTCTCAAGCTCGCTCGTGCCTAAATTAAATTCGTGTATAAAATGGCGTTTATCAAACTTGATACATAATATACTATTAAGATATATATTTCTTTTGAAGTCGGTTTTAAACCATACTACATACTAGAAAATTGAATAGTAAATATAAAAAGAAAAGTTTATATGAACTTGTAAGAAAGCTTTGTTTTCAAAATTTATCTTATAAGCTAATAAAAAAGTTGGGTCTATCCACTGCTTTTTTATGAGTTTGATATTATAATTAAAGAGCAATTGAAAACGCAACTTTTAAACAATTCAAACCAATATAAAAAATGCATCTCGAAATATTTAGTTAAAACACCAAACAATAAAATATTTCAAATGATGAATATAGCGCCCTCTATTATTTGGGAGCGGCAACACGAAAAACGAAATAATGTTTTCCATTTACTACACAGCAGTGTACATAAAAAGTTTCCTAAATTTTAGCTTTGGCTATCAAATACTAGGTGGGGCATGAATCACTAAAATCCATATACTTACCACAAGTATATCTCTGGTATATGTCGTAATTAATAATTAATAAAGTAATTGTCGGATTTTGCCAAATTTAAAAATAAAAATGGGTAATTCGCACTATGGGGTAAATACGCTGAAAAAAAAACAAAAAATAGTTTTATTCATGTTTATTTAGAAAAATTACATCTCCTATTTCATCTTAATGGTAATAAAATCAGTTATCAGTGGTAAAAAATGTTAAAAACGTTTTTTTAAATAATTAACCTAAGCACATACAACAAAAATTATACAATATCACATGCATAAAAAGTAAAGTAAAAAAACTAAAACACTAAATCCATAAAAAGATTAAAGTCTTGTACAAAAAAATAATTAAAAAACTACAGTGCTAAGTAGTGAGTTACAATATAAATTGAGCTACCTTCGTTTCAGCTCATTTTTTATGTATGTATAATAGGCACATTTTTCCTAAAATTACTTATAAATAAACGTTAATTTTTAAACAATAAATAGTTGAAATATACACGTCATTCAACCTTCGTTAACATTCTCATCAACCAATATTACAAAAATATTTGATTTTATTTACAACAATTTTTAAGTAGCCGCTAAAAGGGATGTCTGTTTTTTTTATTTAATTAATTAACTATAAAATAAAACTACTCACAAAAACATACCACGTATTCTTTAGACCAATAAATCAATTTAAAACGACTAAAGAAATTTTCTATTAAAACTGGGATAAAACAGACATCCTTTTTATCTAGGTGATATGCAAATACTATGATAAAATTATTTAATCGATAACTTCAATTCCCAATTAGAATTATATTACATATAAAATCGTACAAAAACAGCCATACAAGTCATACGAACTCGCAAAAAATTATATTATACCCCAGCGCTGGCGTTGCGGTGTAGGGTAGCCGTTTTTTTTCTGCTATCCGGGAAATCGGGTTTTTCCGCTTTCACCCGAAGGGCTTCTTCGTCAAACGGCCGTTTGGTGTACCGACGACAAATAATTTAGAGGTTTCATTTCGGTCTCGCATTCCGAATCTTCGATTTCGCACAAGTTTGTCGATAGGTCGCTGTTGCTCGCATATCCTCCCAAAAGCGAATGCCTCTCCTCTGGCAAGAAAATAAAGACATTGTTATATGCACGATACACAAAAAGCGGTATGCTGTACCAGATTCAAATGTTACAAACAGTTTTGCATAGGCATACGCACACAACGTCTTGAAGATGTCTTTTGCATGTCTGTATTATGCCTGAACGTCTGAAGATCTAAAAAAGACGTCTGAAAGACGTCTTTTGATAGACGTCTTAAAGATATCCTCATTTATTGTTCTAAAGACATCTTATAAATGCCTGATACCGCCGCTTATTTTTTTTAATTTTTTGATAAAATAGGGAATTTTGACAACGATTTAATAATGCCGTTAAAAGGACATCTTAAAGACGATGTGTTTTGTAACATTAGATATCTTAAAGACGTCTTAAAGATGACTTACGTCGTAAACTGGACGCTATGCAGGGTTGTTTTATCACGATTTCTTTTGAGTTTTATCCAAAATTATTGTGTTTTTTAAAGTAGATTTATACAGTGTGGAACTCACTTATGGAATAAAATTCGTTATTCGATGAGAAAAGATTTTTATGAAAAACGCTCGGACACGTAAACTTTAGTTTTTTATTCCAAATCTTATAATGATAATTTTAAATTTTATGCCCCCACCATTTTCCCCCCGCAAATTAGGCACCCTTATCTTAAATAACAACCCCACTTTTTTTCATAGAAAATTGATAGTGCACATTTTTTGAGTACGACAATACCACATAAGTAGGGTTTAGTAAACAGTTTTCAATACAGGGTGGAAATATAATGACAAATTAAAAAACTAAACTTTTTATTTTAAAATTAATTAAAAATTCAAAAATAAACTGTTCTTCAATCTTATAAATGTTCAAAATGTCCACTTCCTGACACTTTAGTAATCTACTGTGAAATTGTTCCCGCACTCTGTTTAAAACCTCCGGTGTTATGTTCCTAATTTCTCCAGTAATTCTGTTTCTTAGTTCATCTAAATTAGCAGGTTGTGTTTCAAACACCCTGTTTTTTAGATATCCCTATGGAAAAAAGTCTAGAGGTGTTAGATCCGGTGATCTTGCTGGCCATTCTATAAAACCTCTTCTTCCGATCCACCTGTGTGGAAAGGTGTCATTTAAATAATTCCGTACGGGAAGAGCATAGTGGGGTGGGGCACCGTCTTGTTGAAGCCATATACTTTTATTGGGAAGATTAGGTTCCAATGGATTTGGAAACAACTCTGCTAAAGTTGGGACAACTTGTTCTCTTAGCATATCCAGATATCTTGCCCCGTTAAGATTTTCAATGAAAATAGGTCCCACCACATGATCACCAACAATACCAGCCCAAACGTTGATTTTCTGAGGACGTTGGGTATGACTTTGTCGCATCCAGTGGGGATTTTCTTCTGCCCAGCACCTGCAATTTTGTCTATTTACCTCGCCATTTAATAGAAATGTTGATTCATCAGAAAAAAGAATATCTGCAGAAGAAATAACATTCCTGTTTAACATATGCAGCATTTGCTCGAAAAATTGTAATCTTCTATCAGAATCACCATTAATCAATTCTTGTACGTGTTGTAGTTTATATGGATGCATTTTTTCGGCTTTTACACATCTTAAAACGGTCGAATGACTAACGTCGTTTTCACGTGCAACCTGACGCGTAGAAGTTGTTGGATCTTTTTGAAAAGCTAATAAAATATTAACTTTTACATTTTCATCAATAAAATGAGGCGTCTTGCGTAATGGTTTAACGTGTAACATATTCACGAAATTGTGCATATATTTTAGACACAGTTGCCTGAGAAAGTGGTGGTAAATCTGGGTATTTTCCATTAAAAAGGTTTGCAACTTGCTGTTGTGATCTGCACATTTAACCGTAACCAATCATCATTAATATTTCTATTCGCAGAGTTTCTGTCAAGTGTCGCATTTTTTAACTAAAATATTAACTGATACTTGGATCTAACAAAATACTTCAATAAGTAAAGCGCAAAATGTTTCATTAATAATAAAAATTTAAACAATGCAAAAAGGACAAACGCAAATAATGGCATTAACAAAAAACAATAACAAAGCGAAAAAACATGAATATCTAAATAGCGAAAGCCACAACACAAGAAACTAAATCATAGAATAACAATAAAAAATTCGTACTTGTAATTTTTAAATATTCACCCTGTATTGAAAATTATGGTTACTAAACCCTACTTATGTGGTATCGTCGTACTCAAAAAAATGTGCTCTATCAATTTTCGATGAAAAAAGTGGGGTTGTTATTTAAGATGAGGGTGCCCAATGTGCGGGGGGGAAAATGGTGGGGGCATCAAATTTAAAATTATCATTATAAGATTTGGAATAAAAAACTAAAGTTTACGTGTCCGAGCGTTTTTCATAAAAATCTTTTCTCAACGAATAACGAATTTTATTCCATAAGCAAGTTCCACACTGTATATTGGCCGCAAGAATTAAAAACGAGCAAAAAAATTACTCTCGGAAGTCTCTTACCTAAAGTTGTGATGACTGAGGCGATGTCGTCGTCATTACGTCTGTTCTTTCGGTTGCTAGGGAAACCGTAGGGCTCCACATCATCGGAGTCCGCCCCTGGACTTTGCAGGGCCTCCATTTCAGGCTCGCTCGGTATATTATAGCCGTGCGCTGGCAGATAGGAATTCGGATGGCGTATATAGCTTTCGGCTGAAAATTGGTTTTTCAATGCCAAAACTTTGCCAAAAGTATACATTATGTATTCGACAATTTTTAAAATTAAATCCGAATTAAATGAAATAATAAATTTTCATTCTTTCAAGGACTTATTTGGTGACACATTGTATACAAATTGGTAAAATGGAACCACTCACCGTGTGTATAAAGTACCATTTTGACAATTTCTTTTTAACACAATTTTAAAAATTGTAGAATTTGGATAAAAAAATACTTTTTTGACGAAATGTAAAAAATTATTTAAATCGTCCACCCTGAGAGCACACTTTATTCTAAGAATGTTTTTTAAACCTTCCAGTGAGAATATTCTCAGGATCATGCTATATTTCTTCTAAAGAACATGCTTAAAAGACATATAGCATGATCCTAAGAATATTCTTACTGCCCTATAGGCAGCTTCTTAGAAGGTGCAAAGTTTTAGTGGTAAAAATTAGTCTACTCTAAACATATGCTTAGAATGTTAAGAAAGTAATTGCTGTAGAAAGTTCATTTAGGAATATTTCTGTTAAGCATATTTAGTTGAATTACTTATATTACCAAAATATTTTTTATAGTTATTTGTCAAATTATAACAATATTCGATAACAAAAATACTTTTACAATAGGTATTTTATTTTATGTTAAAAATAAATAGTTATTAATTTGTATACCGATTTTTTATTTCTGAATTAACATTTTTATGTGTAATAATCCTAACTATCTTCAACTTCAATCTAATCTGACTTATCCCACAAAATTTTCCAATTTTACTTTTTATGAAATAATGTCGTACAACTTATGGTTTAGAGGTCAAATTGTTTATTTAATATTTTTGAATAAATATATATTAATATGTCGCAAATTTTTTTAAGGGGACGAAAAATACATTTCACTGTCATATTATGACAGTGAGGCGTATTTGTCGTCTCCTGAAGAATTTTACGAATGTAGAATACAACATATTAGAACGTGGGTATCTGACATATTTGGAAATATTCTCAAAAGCTTCCTAGAAGCTCCATAAGAAACCTAAGAACATTCCAAAAACGTATTCTTAAAATGTTCTTAGGATGCTTTTTAGAAGCTTTTAAGAATCTAATTGCATCATTAAAAGGGTCCCTAAGAACATTCTTAGCAATAAGGGAAGGTTCTAAGAATATTACATTATTTCGGGTATCTTCTTAGAAGATTCTTAAAATCAAATTTTGCTATCAGGGCAAGAATAAAAATAAAGAAAATCTTGGGAAACTTCAAGGCTACTGGCTTGTAATGAAAATATAGTTAATACCACAGTTGTGGTTTATACATAAAACGGTGTTGGTTAAGTAAATAAAACAAATCAAAAAACATTGTTTTACACAAAAAATATCCATGCTTATTAACATGCAAGAGTTATCCTAAATACTCACTTGGTTTAACAATTATTAAAGGCACTGCATTAAGGAAAAATAAAAATAAATGTTTGTTAAAACTATATCGTCTATATTTTTTGTTTGTGACTAGTAATATAGTAATAAGGGGGTGGTGGTCAAAAATGCATTTTTAGTAAGAGATTATTGTTTTTTTTGGGGGGCATTGAAGTTTTTTAACATCCAAGCAACAACTTACGATTTTTTACGAATTATGTTGGAAATTATGTATTATAATTGGGTTTCCCTCCACCCTATAAGTAATTGCACATTGTTCAGGAATATTTTATACAAAGCTAACACCATTGTATCAAAAATAAATCTTTTGACACCAACTAAAAACCCAAGCAGCATTTTAAGTAAAAGCGTAGAGCCATAGCAATATAACTTAATTTAAGTAAATATTTATTTATGTTATTTTTACCTATTTTAATAACCCTTAAGTTTCAACACTTTAAAGTATTATAAGGGACGTAATTTTTACGAAAGAAAATACTTAAAAGTGTATTTTACCTAAAGGAAAATTTAACGTTAATTTTAACGTCAGAATTTTTACTTAATGGTAAATGTTACTCATAAGTCATAATTTTACGATATTAAGACCACTTTATAACCGTAAATAATTCCTATTCGCCTGGTATTTTTTAGGGTTATTATGGTAATAAATACTATTAATATTGACTAAACAAGGAAAAATAAGCTTAAAGTTTAAGGGAAAATTTTTTCAGGTCCCCATAATGAGTTTTTTAAGAAGGCATTTATATAATATTTTTCTAAAATATAATAAGGAAAGTTTTAGTTATTAAAAAATGATTAAAACTAAATGATTTTTAAAAGATTTTATAAAATTTTGTAGGTTTTAAGTTTTGTTGAATTTTTAGCCAAGCAATCATTTTTCTTAAAACCGTAAAATATTTAATGCAAAATATTATTAGTTTTGACAATTTAAGTTATATTTTTTAATTTTACTCTAGGGTGGCCTTTATTACTTTGTAAGTACCATTTTGTAAAATATAAATTAAAAGAACAAATAAATTACGAATGTCAATGTTTTAGAAAGAGAGAGCAAACAGTTAGATTATAGCGTTATTTTTACGTAAATTTGTGGTATTTATATTGTTTTTATTACGTTATTCTCTCAGTAGATCAAAAAGGTTATTATGTAGGTAAAATAACGAAATAATTAATTCTGCAAATTTGGTACGTTTTTGTATATATGGGTGAATTTTCGTTAAATGTACATTTTGTATATATATTTTGTCCAGGCAGGTCAATTTGATCGATTTTTTTTTCCTTTGTGATAGAACAGTGTAATATACTGCAAAAAAATTCTATAAGTTTATAAATAACAAAAATAAACTTTAAAGAAAAAAAACTTATAGGGTTAATCTGAAATAGGGAAGGAACACAAGGAAGAAATGAAACATTGTCCTCCTCCTAACGCATCTTCCTGAACGTTTTATGACACATTGCTTTTGACTTTTTCAAACGTTATTTTTCAGAAATACTGTTAAATGTAAATATCTTTCGGCATTTGTTTGGAATTTCTACTAAAATCGCCTCTAGGAACAGTTAGGTTACAGGACATTTCACCTAGTTTTTCTGCCATATATAGAAACATAAAGTAATTAAAAAAAAAAATACGATGGGTCCTAACAGGAAATGGGTATTTAAATATAATAAATACAAAACTTATCAACAAAGGTCAAAAATAAAAATAAAATTAGCTGGGGACAGCAAATGTACATTTAACGAAAATTTGCCCATATACCGTTATAAAACCGTTTTCGTTAACCGTAAAAAATACTTTAAAGTTGACTTGGTGGTAAATTTGTAGTTATTTAAACTTAAAATGCTGCTTGGGAACACTTTTTAGATAAAAACTCTCACCTGTGGTAAAAGTGAAACCCTCATTTCCGCTATCGAGGGCATTGAGACCCGGACTAATCCTCTGAGAATCGCACTCGGTGTCAGCCATGAACTCTGACTCTACGTCCTCGTTCAGGGTCTCGATGTCCCTACTCCTTGGGTCCAGCTGACCCAGAGTGGGCATGTTGTGGTGGTACTTGGACTCGTTGCTCTCGTTGCTGTGAAAGCTCGAGGAATCCGGGATTTCCCCGCCCGGAACTTCCGTTATGTTGGGCAGCGTCTGGCTGTGTCTCGCCCAATCGGAACAGTCCCAATGGTAGCCTACAGAAAATGACGATTTTTGAAGATTTTGTAAATTTTGTTAATATAAAAATGTTCTAATTTGAGAATTGTCATTTTTAATAATTTTTAATAAAAACAACACTGTTTCAATTGTTTCGTTACACGGTTCTGAATAAAACAAAATTTCTTCCAATTTAATAATAAAATATACACGAGTCATATGCAGAAACGTTGATTTATTTATATCAACTGATTTAGCATAACAGTAGATATAGGTTTTTGCACGACATGGCAACGCAGTATTTTTCTTTAAAAACTGTTGTTTTATAAAATAAATTGGGTAATTATCTTTCAACGTTTATATTTTCCCTAAAAAAGTCGATTTATATACAATGTATATAAATCGTATATTATATATTGACATTTTTATGTATATTATACATTGACATTTTAAATTAGACATAAAACAATTAAAATTTCAACAAGATTTATTTGACATTGTCATGATTTACTAGATTTATTTTTTGGCCAATAAAATCATCTAAAATGTAAATCGGTTGATATAATTTATATCAGTCGTTAACGGTAATTATATCAAATATCTTTGCTGTTTTTTGTCTGATTGAAAAGCTGAATACCTGAAAGCAATTGATTTATAATTTTCTTTAGTTTTATTGTAAAATAATAACAATAACATTGAACTTGGGTGAAAATATTTATTGATTTATTTTTTAAATAGGTACTTTTGAAAAATTTTAAATTTTAGACTTATTTTCTGCTTTTAAATTTTTAAATGTCTTAGAAATAGAAACAGTAGGTTTTGGGTAAAGGGCTCAACAAGGTAGAGGGGACTTTTTTTTCTGAGAGGAAATTTACTATTTATTTTTGGGCCCAGAAATATACTATTAATCATAGATAAAATGAAATGGAGGGACAAAAGGTCAACATGGGTATTTCAAATTGAATATACATATTATAATATTATTAACAATTTTTGCCAATAATACAAGTTTAAAAAGCATTTTATAGGAAAATAAAAAATACACCCTGTAGGTAAAAGCAAATGTTTTGATTAGAAAGCAGTGTAAGAATCTATGTATTAATATTTTTGGTTCAAATTGTTTTTATTATTCTCCCACCCATTTTCTAGCACAATTTTTCTGGACATGCAATTTTTGAGAACAGCTCCCTCCTTTTGATTAAAAAAGTTTATTCTGAAGCCATAATTTATGTATATCAAGCATTAACTAACATATGTTATCCTCTGGAGTTTGTTTCTTAATTTTTTTATATTCGGCATCATTGCATTTATTTTTCAAAACATTTGCAAAACAAAACTAATAAACACAGAATAAATTACTGCTGACAAAAATTTTTAAGGAATCACAAATGCAGTTAAAATTGTGCGTCGCCATTTAGCGTATTATTCAATGGCAAGGTCTAGATTTAAAAATATAATTTCAACAGGATTTCAATGGAAATTCAATAGGATTATATTTTTTACCTCCAGTTGTATATTATAGCGTAATAAAGGTTTATAATGTTGGTACTTACTGCCCATCGTCCTAGAATCCTCCTCATTCGAAACAGTTCCATTTGGTTTTATACAGTTGACTGTATTGCTCTTTCCCCCGTACAGTCTATTGGGTGCATCGCAATTAACAGGGCTGGCAACTTTGTAATCTAAAAAACAATTCATGAAACAATCAATTGATAACATATTTAACGCTTTAGTACCATTTTTGTTCTTCTGTCTATCGTTTATGTGCATTTGTTCGGCCCACGTGGTCTTCTCGGAATCGCAGTGGTTTCCTATGCAACCTTGAGGCGTGCTTCTGTTCAAATTCTTCACGTAGTCTGGAGGAACGTTTTCCAGCTCGTCGCCGGCCGAACCGTACGATCGCAACGTGTCCAAATTGTTCAACATCAACGTGTTAGAGGTGCAGTTGTAGATGGGGTCGTTTTGAGAGGTGGGAGTGTACGATAGAGGTCGCGCCGTCAAAGCGATTTCGCGCTGGTTTACAGCGAGGTTTGAAAGCTTTGAACCGCGTTTAAAGTCCATTTCTTGCGGTCTTGTCGAGTTGAGAACGATGTTCTCCTTGATGTTTTCATTGTTGCGTCGCGATCTCTTACTGTGACACTTCTTGCAGCATATTGAAATGATGGTGACGAATATAATCAAAACTAGAAGAGCTATGACGCCGGCGATGTATAGAATCTTCTCTTTGGTGAGGTTGTTGAACCACGATAGGAAATTGGACTCGAAGATGGTGTTGGAACACAAACTTCCGGTGTAATTTGGGGTGCACAGGCAATGGAACGCACCAATCTCGTTGATACACGTACCACCGTTTTGGCAAGGATTGCTTTCGCATTCGTTGAGATCGTACTCGCAGAATTCCCCGGAGAAATGCCGGCATTTACATAGAGGACCATCATCACCCTCCTCGCAAACCCCGCCATGTTTGCATGGATTCGGCGAGCAGTATCTTCCATACTCACACCGTTTCCCGCTTAAGTGTAGCACGCATTCGCAGAAGAAATCGCCCGATACGGTTGAGGAACACTTACCGCCGTATAGACACGGGGATGAAGCGCAGGGGTCCGAATCCAACTCGCATATGGAACCGGAGAATCTGGAGTGGCACTCGCACTCGTAACCCGTCTTCGTTTCTTTGCAGGTACCGCCGTTAAGACAAGGTTGCGATCCACACGGACCGGGTGGTGTCAGTATCACACTGGTATCACAACTAAACTCAACGTTCGCGAATCTTTTCAGCACTACTACGGAGTTCTCGCCGGATTTATGTAGCGGCACGGAAACTCTGGAGATTCGTATGTCGTCCATACACCCCGAGAAACCTTTTTGGACGTCTTCGAAGCCCAAAATCGAGGGGTGCTGATGCACCTCAGCCCCTAAATACATCTCATCGCTTTGGAGGTTTAAAATGTCGCTTACCCCCGGTGCAGAACCTTGTGCGGTGTACACCCCGTCTATGGTTATTTTGGCGCTGTTTCTATCGCGTTCCAGCTTGATTTCGTGCCACGACCCGTCAGAAACATACAAATTCGACACTCTAACTATACCCTCGCCGCTTCCCAGTTCAAACCGATACTGAACCCCACCGTTGACTATCTCTAAAACGTTGTAGTCCACTTTACCGGCCGCGTACATCAGATTGCCGGTGGGTTGAACCGTTCTCACCCGCAAACTCAAACTCAGCTGATCTTCGATGGACTTCTTGTTGATGATCCTGTACTGCGAGTAACTCTTTCCGCTGAAGGAGATGGGGTTTCTGGCGATGTAGCAGTTCTGATCGTGGCACTTTGATATGTCAACGTCGCACTTCGCCCCTGCATAGCCCTCGGGACACTGGCAGGAATAACCGACTTTCGAAGCATCCGGGATGCAGATTTTGTACGACGGGCAAGGCTCTCTAGCGCACTCGTTCACTATGGTATCGCACCTCTCACCACCGTAACCTTCCTTGCACATGCACTCGAGTTTCTGCCGGTGGTGAGGCGACACAAAACTAGTCACGTCAGTCGAAACCGGGTCTATCAAGTTGGTATCCAACCCGTAGTGATCCTGGCACACCCCGTACAGGCAGTATTTATTGTTGCACTTCATCCTGATGATTTCCTCGACCACTAATTTAGTGCTCTCCTCTAGCTCTTCCAGATTGTCGTTCAAAGCTTTCCGGATTGATTCCGAGGTGTAAAAACCCTCATCGGATTTTCTCACGGTGAAAAGCACGTCCAAATCTTTATTGATGTAGCGCTTAGCCCGGTAAATCTCATCGTCATTCGAAGGTTGGACGCTAATAATCACCACGTCTTTCAATCGGCAGTTCATAGCGTTTCTCACAGCTTTAACAAAACCTTTTTTGTGGCTCAGTATGAAGCTCTCGGGACTCACGCCTCTGAAGCGTATACCGACCGAATTATCGAGCATATCTTCCGATATCACTTCCACGTTCACTTTCACGATGGTGTTGGCGAAGAATTTTCCGTCCGTCACCGATACGTTCAGTCTGTAATCGCCGACGTCTAAACGTGGAAGAGCCGCTAGGGTTCCGTCGGTTTTGTTTATCTGGAATAATTCGTGCGTAGGATACGTTATACCGGCAGTAGGCGATAAAAAGTACGTCAAAGTGTCGTACTGATCCTGATCGTTGGCGTAAACCTTCCCGATAACACCGCCAGGATATTCATCCAAATAAGAATTGATGTTAACCTCCAAAGGCGTTATTACGGGCGGATATTGCGACTCTTCGATAACCTTAACGACAACCGTAGCATCAGAGTATAACGGCGGACTGCCGTTATCGAAAACTCTGATTGTAATTTTGTAAGTATCCTGAATTTTGTGGTTGAATTTGGCCGCAGTCCTCAGAATACCGTCTTGGTCGAGTCTAAACGTGTTACCGTCGTTACCGGATTTGAAATCGAAGGTGTACGGTATCGTGTTTGGTAGCGTATCTAAATCTGTGACGCTGAATTGAATTATCGAGTGACCCAAAGGTTTATCCTCCTAAAACATTTGAAAAATAGTGTTCGTTTGTAAATATATTAATATATAAACTTACTTGTACAACAGCGTTGTAGTGTTCCTGCGAAAATAGAGGCGCATTATCGTTAGCATCAGATATCTCTATGTTAACCAAAGTTTGTCTGGATAATACCGGAACCCCATTATCTTTGGCCAACACCTCCAGAACATAGCTTGATACAGACTCCCTATCCAGTTCTTTGGCCACTGAAAGGTACCCAGTTTTTTCATCTATTGCAAACTGATTGTTATTATCCCCTCTGATGATGGAGTAAGTAACCGCCCCGTTTCTGTCACTATCGGAATCGCTTGCTGTAACCTAAATAAACAATTGTACAACACAGTTTAACAGAGTAAATATTGGAAATATTCCCCAACACCAAGTTATTAGTTTTTTGATGTTTGTTCTCTGTATCATTGTGTCCCAGTACCACTTATCTAGAGAATTTACTCAAATAAACTAGTTTTTCCAATGAGACTCCAACCTTTAACTTATTAAGGAAGATAGGTCCAAGTTGCGTTTGGTTTTGGGGAATATTTCTTACATCATATCACCAATAGTTTAAAGACCCACCTGCAAGATTTTATCACCGATAAGGGCGTCCTCTTTAATTCTGGCGTGATAGGATTGTTGCGTGAACATTGGAGCGTTATCGTTACAGTCAGTGACGGTTATGTTGACCGTGGCAACATTGCTCAGAGGCGGAATACCACCATCTATGGCTTGTATTGTCAGGAAGTAGTCTCTGGCTCTTTCAAAGTCCAGCATATCCGCTATGGTTATAACTCCCGTTTTGTTGTGTACGGAGAACTTTCTGTGCTCGTTTCCGCCGATTATGGAGTAGTAAACGTCAGCATTAACGCCGGTATCTTTGGATGTAGCCAACACTCTGACAACTTCCGTGCCGATAGAGTCGATTTCCGGCACAGTGGCGAAATAATATTTGTTCGCGAACTCGGGAGGGTTGTCATTGATATCCTGCACGTTGACGATGAGATTTACCACGCTGGAAAGCTGAGGAGTACCCTGATCCACCGCCTGCACGCTCAAGTTGTACATGGATCTAATTTCGCGATCCAGAGGCTTCGCTAGAGTGACGATGCCGCTGTCGGAAGACATCACGAAGTGGTCGTTGAACGAGTCTATGAAGTGGTACTTGATTTTGCGGTTGATGCCTATATCGGCGTCGTTGGCGTGTATTTTTGTCACCAGAGTGCCTATTTCCACATCTTCCGGCAGAGAGACGGAATAATACGGCAGGGAGAATATTGGGGCGTTGTCGTTCAAGTCGGATATGATTAACTCTACTTGCGACGAGCATTCCCAGCTTGTGTGCTCTTTATCGTGCACGTGAGCTGTTAGTAAGTACTTTGATTGCTTTTCTCTATCTAGGTTGGTGATTGTCTTCAAATGCCCGCTTTCTTTATCCAAGTAGAAGCTCTCTGAACCCTCCCCGGATAGAATATACCTCAACTTTGAGTGATCTGGACCGTCAATGTCACTTGCAAGCACAGAAAGCACAAATGAGCCCGGTAGAATGCCTTCCGATAGAACTTGTCGGTATCTGTATCTAAGGCAGTACGGTGGATTATCGTTGGCGTCCAGAATTTTCACCGAAACTTTGGTTATGTCGGAAAATAAACCGTCTGTCACTATGATTTCCAGGTTGTAATCTGGCACTTTCTCTCTGTCGAGTTGTTTCGCTACAAACACTTCACCGGTTTGCCGCACTTGGAACTGCGAGCTCGCATCGCCGGAAATTATGTAAAAATCTGTCGGTGTGTTGATATCACTATCACCATCTATAGTTTCCAGGGTGAGAATTACAGTCCCCGGTAGAGCATCTTCGTTCACCGCCGTTTCGTACGATTTTTCCTTGAACAACGTCGGACTATCGTTGTAGTCCTTCAATCGTATCACCACGGTTGTCCTAGCCGATTGTTTCGGAGTGCCGTTATCAGTCGCGATTACGTAGAACTTGTATTCGGATTTAACCTCCTTATCCAGCTTAACTAACGTGGTGATCCAACCGGTGTGTTGGTCGATAGCGAAAACGTTTATGTTGTTGCCAACATCAGTTCCGAAACTGTACCTAACCTCACCGTTACTGCCAGTATCGTCATCGTGAGCTATAACTCTTAGGATCGAAGTGAAGGGATCGACATTCTCCGCTAGATTAAGAACGTAGCTGCTGCTCTCAAACTGTGGCGCGTGATCATTTTCATCCTGCACCAGCAAAGTTATTTCCGCTAGAGCTGCCAAAGGCGGACTGGAGTCCGTCAAAGCCAAAACACCGATTACGTGGGTGTTTTGGGCCTCGTAGTTCAAAGGTCTCGCGAGCGAAATTTGACCTTGACCGTCCACGTTGAACTGAGGGTTATCATCCGAATCCGAAACGATTTGGTAGGTTACCGAAACGTTGGAGAGAATTTTCAGCCGTGTGATGATGGTACCTACAATATTGAATATTGAATAAAAAAATGCTGCACACAATATAAATGCTTATGTACCTGTTGCTGAATTCTCCGACAGAAAGAATTTCCCCTCTTTCGTCTCGTATATCGGTGGGTAATCTCTGGGTCCCATTATGACAATGTTCACCGGGACGTCCGAGTGTTTTTCTGGTTTTCCGTTATCTTTAGCTCTGACGAAAAATTGGAAAACTTGGCCAACTAAAATATACAAAACCTAAGCTGATAGCACTAAGAATTACTAACATTGAGTACGCCCACCTATATTACCTAATTTTGGGCTGCTGATTTCAAAAATGCCACTCGTTTTGCTCCAGGACGTCTAAGATTCGAAATTTTTGCGTAATAAAATGCTCTGCCAAATTATCTCAAAATGTAAGTTTTTGACGTTTTTCATCTACTTAAAGCACATTAAAGTGCATCTAATTTTTGACAAAATTTAAACTTTAAATTGTATTTTTACTTGAAAGTTATTTTAAGAACCAAAAATGAAAAAAGAGCTAGAAATGGAAGTGGCAGAGAAAGAGAAAGCAGACCAACATTTATGTCTTCGTTGTAAATTTGTTTTGTTTTTATTGCGGTACCTTTACGCCCAAGAAAAACCAACGCAATATTTCATTATAAAATTTTATGAGATATACCTACTACTTTAATTTTGCAGGAATATTAAATGGACCTGATATACGACGTTTAATGAAAGATCAAGCATTCAAAAATGCTCTCAAAGTTGACGAGCTTGTCGCATATGGCAGTGTTAAAGCTGTCATTGAAAATGTTCTTGGTTCATATCGGGCCTAAAATTGGCGCCAATTCATTGAAAAAATGCTCTCTGTTTTGTAAAGAATTAGCGTTAATATGTCATTTAAAATACATTTTCTTTTTTTTTTCATCCTGATAAATTTGCCGAACTGATGAACATGGAGAAGGATTTCACCAAGTAACTGCAAATCTAGAGCATTGGTAGATATCTATGGGTATAGCGGAAAGAAGTTGGATTAATTGCTAGGAGACATTTGATGGAATTTGCAGCAAAAGATGTACGACGATGATGAGGATTAAGCACAATAATACTATAATCCAATTTGATATTTGATACGATTTAATAAATTTGAGGTAGAAAAAATCAAAATTATGCAATGCATTAAATTTTGAGGGCTTAATATATGATCTATTTGCTGTATACCAATTACTTTAGTACATTCAAGATAAATTAAAGCCAAAATAATTTAACATTTAAAATAACATTTTGAGGTGATTGAGCAGAGCATTTTATTACAAAATTATTTTAACCTAGACGTCCTAGAGAAAAACAAATCAGCGGTCCAAAATTAGTTAAACTAAGCTGGAGTACTTAATGTTAGGAAAAAAAAGTTTCATCCATCAAAAAAAACACTTACCATAGTGATTGGCATTTTTCTGCAAGTAAAGATCGCCGTTATTCGGATTAATCCTGAATATATTCGTAATCTCAGACTCTCTTTTTTCGTAGATGGAATAATTTAACGTTGAGGCCAAACCTTCATCTAAATCCGTAGCCTTTATTCTCGCAAAAGGTATGGCAACTGAATGGTTCGCGTAAATACTGACCTGATACTCTTTCAGTCTAAATTTGGGAGCGTTATCATTTTCATCTACGATTTTAACTCTCACGGTTAAAAACGATGATTTACCGCCCCCATCTGTCGCCATTACAGGTATCTCGTATAGCTTTTGCTTCTCGCGATCCAATCTTACTCTGGTGATGATTTTTCCCGACGTTTTGTCGATATCAAAAGTTTCGCTGAGTAAATCAGACACTATGCTGTACGTTACAGCACCAAAGTCTTTTAAATCCTGATCAGTAGCATTGACGTTGGCCACCAAGTAGCCAGCGTTTCTGTTTTCCGGTACAGATACGTCAATTATAACATCGTTAAATGTTGGGGAGTGCAGATTGGCCGGTATCAACTCCACTTTAAGTCTGGCAAAGTTGGTATAAACACCGTCGGACACAGAAACGTTTAGGAGTAGCATAGGTTGATTTCCAAAGTTTGCCAGGTTAGTGAGTGTTATGATTCCCGAGTCAGGGTTCATAGAAAACGTTTGCTGTTCGTTACCCGACACCAGAGTATATCTGAGACTATTTTGATTGACTTCATCCAAATCGCTGGCTTTAACTATTGTCACAAATTGGTCCCTTCTGGCGCTTATGGAAAGACCGCAAGAATATGAGCTTTGTTCGAATCTGGGTGGATTATCGTTCATATCCAAGACTAAAATAGTAATTATGTAGCGATAACAACATTCTTTAATAAAATATACATACCTTGTACCCATACATGAGCTGTACTATTCAAACTAGGTACACCTTGATCAGTGGCTACAACTATAAAATGGTGACTACTAGCTTCCTCGTGATCCAATGTTTGTTTTAAGTAAACCACCCCTTCAACCTCATCAATATAGAACAAATCCGTAGCGTTACCATCATCTTTTTGTATGGAATAAACCACCTTGGCGTTTATACCAGTATCGTTATCATAAGCCATAACAGTCAGAAGAGGTGTACCAAATTGCGCAGCTTCAGAAACAGACACATTATAGCTTTCCTGCGTAAATTCAGGAGGACAGTCGTTGACATCCTGTAGGATTATCGAAACTGGGACTTCGGCGTGAACACCGGATACAGAGTCTGTAGCTCTTATTAGTAGTTCATATTGTTGTTGTTGCTCGAAATCTAGCTCATCCACAACTGATATAACACCTGTTGAAAATGCAACAATCAGACATTGTTAAAAGAGAATGTGGACAAATATGACATGCTCGAAACATGCCAGTAAAATGACAATGATCCTCGTAAAAAATGAGTGTTATAATACAACTAATCTAAGCTTTTGGGGGTTAATACGGCGTATGATATAGAGGCATAAAGAAAAGATCGTCATGCAGAAAAATCATAATGAAAGGGAAAAAGCCACACATTGCACATCGATTAAAATACTTACTAGGACCATTGTTACTGTCAGGGGCTGTGGAAAATTAAAGTTACCATTAAAAGTCATAATAAATAATGTAGAGAGGAAAGTAAATAATATTTAGTATGTACGATTGTTAAGAGAAAAAACTTGTTAGGAAAAATCAACTCCAAAGACCTACTGATAATAGTTTTTATTGGTTGAAAAAATCGTCAAAAAGTTTAGGGGGTTATAATAGACATGCAATTATTCGGTTGTAAATATTATTAATTTTACTCTAAAATACTGTATGTACACACTAAAAGTACAATGTACAGGGTGTCTGCTACTTACCTTGGTACAAAGTTACAATCATTTTAAGATAGTTTTTTTTACTATAAATTTAAATGGTGTTGTTTTAAATCAATAGTAAAGAGCACGATATAAAAATTGTAATTCCACCACCCAAACTAATCAAATTTATTCTTAACTCAAGAAGACTTTCTGCAGACACCCTGTAGATTAGGGTGGTCCACAATAAATGCATGGAGAAAAAATGTCATTGTTAAATTTTGCCTCCACATAGGTAACTTTTGTATGTAATTACTTGATAATATTCGTACCAAATTTAAACCTTCTAGGTTGTTAAGACCCTTTGACTAAAATGTTATGTTACTGAAAGAACCAGCTTCTTCTTTAATGTCCTTTTTATTGAAGGAAAATGTAACAATCAGAAATGTTAAAAGAAAATGTCATCCTCGAAACATGCCTGTAAAATGACAATGATCCTCATAAAATAAAATAAACCTGATAAAATGTTTGTGACTTGTGGAGACAAAATTTTTAAAACATTTTATTGGACCACCCTTCTGTAGATTCAATAAATAGCTTAAATCATCTACATGTGCTTTTTAATGGAAAATAATGATAAAACTTTAGGTTACAATAGTTGGTATCACACATTTTTTAAGAATTAATACCTGGTGTTTTAATATCGTTCAAAAAATCGTGTAAAAAATCGCTTAAATCTCTGAAAATCATGTGATTTCCGTTCGAGGAAATATCTATTGAATGAAATAAAGAAAATTAAACAAAAATTTTATGATTTTTTTTATATTTACCTGTGTTGAAATCCAAAGAAAACTCCTCTAACTCGTTGCCTTTGATGATGCTATAGATGAGTTTCCTGGATAAAGGAGATTCTGCTTCTATGGATATAGTTAAAGGCGAATGTAGTTCCATGTTTTCCGGTATAACTTCGGAATAAAATTGTTTTTTGAAGACCGGCATCGATCGGTCTATGACTTTTACATGCACTGTTACGTCTGTTCGGCACGGAGTCATACCTGTAAGTGAATTAAATGTGGAAGTACTAGTCGTACTATTACATGAATGTTTACCTTTATCATAGGCGGCAATGTGAAGCTCATACTCCCTGTTATGACCCTCTAGATTTTGCTTGATTTCTATGTCACCACTTTCCCTTTGAACTTTGAAGAGTTCACCATGACCTCGTATCAATTCGTATCTAACTTCTCCATTCTCAGCGCTATCCAAATCGATGGCGTGTACTTTGGTTATAACACTGCCCTTTTCGTCATCGACTGATACCACAGCGTAGTAAGGAAGATTAACGAACATCGGACAGTTATCGTTTATATCCAAAACGGTTACGTTGACGATGACGTGGGCAACTCTCGGTTTTTCGCGTTCAGGATTGTTACTGCGCGCTTCTACTATCAAATCGTATTTATCTTTGACTTCCCTGTCGAATTTCACGCCTGTGGTGCGTATAACGCCCGACGTTGGGCCTATGGTGAACATTTTCGTCGGGTTTAGGATTCTAAACTCCAAATTCTCATTCAAAGCGCTGCCAAGAACGTTAACAACGCATACGGTGGTGATTTTGGTGGAGTTTTCTATTATGGAACCCTCGTAGAATGGTTTTTGGAATACCAAACCGGAGTTATCAGATTCTTCAACCCTGATGTACACTTTGGCGACGCTTGAAAATTTACCATCCGAAACCCTAACGTGTAACTTGTAGAACGACTTTAGGTTATCGGGTTCCAACAGGGTTATGAGCCCAGATTTGGAATCAATGTGGAAAACACCCATCTTGTTACCCTCGATGATGTCGTAGCGTAACGAAGTACTTTCCACGCTGTCAGGGTCAGTTGCATTCACTTGCACAACAGCCACGTTTTTATACGACGGTAACAACAACGTAACGTTGTATATTAAATGTGTGAAACGAGGCGGACAATCATTAACGTCCGTTATCAGTATTTCTACTTTGGCTGTCGTTTCCGAGGATAACTTTGGTCTACCTAAATCGTAGACTTGAACGTGAAAACTGAATTTTTGATGGCTCTCATAGTCCAGCAATCTGATGGTTCTTATCGCGCCGGTGTTGGAGTCTATTTGGAAGTATCTTCTGGGCAGTATTTCCATGATATCGTAGTGCAATAGAGCGTTCACTTCGGAATCAGCATCGGTTGCTTTGATAACCAAAGGTTCGCTGGTATTTGTAAGAACTAGAGATTTAATCGGAGCAGACTCGCTGATTGTTCCCGAATAGAAAGACTGCAAGAATGTTGGGGGGTTGTCATTTTTGTCTAATATGTGGATGACAACGTTGCATGACGCAGAAACTGAGGCCTAAGAAGATTAAAAACATGTTGAAACGCATACAATAATAAAAAAAACACTTACCATATTCGTGGCTATCACAGATAAATTGTAAAACTTCCTGGTCTCGTAATTCAAATACTTCTGCGTCGTAATCACGCCGGTACTCGGTGATATCAAGAAAGCCGAGTCATTATTCCCGGACTTGATTTGGAACTGCAAAGAGGAAGTTGATCTTACATCCAAATGAGCAACGTAACTGCCCAAAGGTTGATCTTCATAAATTTCCGCCGCAATTTCTCTACTTATAAACCTCGGAGGTGCGTTATCAGCCATGGTGATACTTATATGGGCCGGCACAAAAGACGATAGCGATGGTTGGCCATGATCCATAGCTCTTACATGCAAAGTATACTCTGTTGCCGACGATAAGTCTAATTCTCTCGCGATGGATATGATACCCAAATCTTGATCGATGTTGAAAACATTACCAACGTTCCCTGAGATAATAGAGTACGTTATTCTAGCATTTTCACCCTTGTCGTGATCCACAGCGAACGCTCGCAACACCTGACTACCGACAGCTGCTGATTCAAACACTTTACCAACCAAAATTTTATCCGAGAAGTGCGGGGTGTGATCGTTATGATCGTGGACTATAATTTGCACTCTAGCGTAGTTTCTTTGAGCTGGAGTGCCACCGTCTCTCACCATAACAGTCAAAATGTGTTTGCTCAAAGTCTCTCTATCCAAACTCGACGCTAAACTTATAACCCCCGATATAGAGTCGAGTTTAAAGGTGCTCAACGAAATTTTATTTCTAGCCGAATGCAGACTGTATATCAACTTCCCGTCGTTATCTTTATCAACCGCGTGTAACTTTAGGATTTCCGTATCGATTGGAACCGCTTCGGAAATCTCGACTTTATATAGCTCCTCGGAAAATTCCGGTCTATGGTCGTTTATATCGATGACGGATACGTTCAACTGCGTGTAAACGGTGTGGACCAAATCTGTGACACTTATGTTCAAGGTGTATGCGTTTTGACTTTCGTGGTCTAATTTCCGCGCCAGAAGAATATTACCGACGTCCCTACCGATGAAAAAGTCGTTTCTCTCGTTGCCACCTTCAAGGTGTACAAAATTAGTTATGTGTCAATGTTTCGGGTGTTTTTATTACTCACCGACTATGTTATACCACAAAGTGTCGTTGTCCATGTCTGCAGCTTCGATGGTGTTCACCAGAAACCCTATTTGGTCCCCTTCCGTCATTTTGACAGCCGATGGTTGCTTTACTTTGGGTGCATGCCTTGATTTCAGCGGAACAGCAACCACTTTCACCGCTACTTTACAAATATTAGACCTGCTGGTGTTACCACCATCAACAGCTTTAATCTGTGGAGGGAAGACGTTGGAGAAATGGTTTACAGGGCGATTTAGGAGGACTTACGTTTAGTTCATACTCCTGTCCAGCCTCGAAGCCTTTCTGTGCGTACACCATTCCGGTGGAATTGTCGATTTTAAATTTCGAACGACCCTTACCGGATTTTATGAGGTAGTGGAGTTCGGAATTTTGGCCTGCATCTCGATCAAAAGCCAGCACCTAAGAAATTATGTAATATAAGGGTGTGACCAAATATGTTGTCACGCCAAATAAAGACAGTTTTCCTTCTATTATTATATTACTATAAGCCGTTTTTCGATCAGAGGCACCATTAATTAGTTATCAATAAAATAAAGTAGCCAATCACAGGCGTGTTTAAGCAAAATGATTAGAGGTGGGAGAACTATAATGTGCGGCTTAATATGGTTGACATTGTAACTGTCAGTGTTTTAGTTTTTAGGTTAGTTTTAACTTGAGACATTCTTTTTTAGGGAAAATTGGTGGCTCTAATACAGACTAATACTTTTCTGCTGCCCTTGACTTTTGAGACCCTGTATAATTTTTTTATTAAAAAACAGTATCTCTAATGGAAAAATTGTCTTGTTTTGGCGTATACTATCATCCCCCAAAGAATGACAATTTATTAGGTGACCCTGTATGTAACCACCACATATTCCTTTGGTCAAAATAAGGAAACTTTTAGAGGTACTATGCTCCACACCTCAAAGTCCCACCACGTGACCACGTACGGAACGCAGTCTTTTGAAAATTTGGCATTTAAGGCTTTTCAGGTTATGTATCTGTCAAAGTATAGTCAACAAAATTATGTTTAGGCATTAAAAATGTATAAATCTTTATAACATTACAATAACAATGGATGGGTTAAGAATTTAGGAATATAAATACTGCATTTAATGAAATTCTAAAGTGTATAGTGCCAAATAAGTAATATTTTTGTGCATTTGGTCCAAATATCTGCTTTTCTCGATAAACTAATTTTAACTAAACAGCATTTATTAAAAAAAATCTAGCTTCTCTATTATGGAATAAGAATATCTGTTTTAAAGGTTTTAAGGTTGGAAAAATGTATTTTGACCAAAATAAATAAATATTTTGGATTATTTAAAGGACTGTATAATATGGTATTTAAAAATGTGGTAGTTTTTCTTATCCAGCTTAAATTGTACCTACATAAAGTTTTGTCAATACAAATAGTTAAAAAGCTTCGACTGAACTTAATCTACATCAAAAATCATTATAACTTTAAAAATTTTAATAAATCACATGTCATGGGAGTATTAAATATTTTCACATTGCAAGTTTCTCTAAAAATTGTTTGTTTTATAATCTAACTTAAAATAGGTATGCCGAGAGGTATGCACAAGTTTTGTCATTAGAAGTATAAAAAATTTCAATTTAATTTGAACCATGTTCAACAATTATTTAGTATACCTATATTTATTTATGACCATATTAACACACTCTTCCAAATATTGCACTTATTTATTTTGGTCAAAATAGATTTTTCTAACCTTAAAATACAAAATTAGATGATATTTTTTGTTCTAATACATTAACCTACCTTTGATACAGATATTCTTATTTCATAATAGAGAAGTTAGATTTTTTTAATAAATTCTGTTTAGTTAAAACTATTTTATGGAGAAATGTAGACCCAATGCACAAAAATATCACTTATATTGAACCTTACACTTTGGAATTTCATTAAATGCAGTATTTATATTCCTAAATTCTTAAACCAACTATTGTTATTGTGATACTATAAAGATTTATTATTTATTATAACTTTTAACGCTTAAACATAAGCGGTAACACTATAGATATTATTTCTTTCATTGACTATACTTTGACAGATAACCTGAAAAGCCATAAATGCCACTTGGTGGGACTTTGAGGTGTGGATCATAGTACAATTCCTTTGGGGTTTTTTGTCTCATAAAACAATATCAACTGACCAAATTTGTAGTAAAAAAATGTAATTTTTTGGCCATATAACGCCCAAACTTTATTCTGAGCAAGTTTACTTAAAACAGCTTATTTTGTTGTAAGGTATATGTGGTAGGTGTAAAAAAAATTAATGCTGATGTTAGAATGAACAAGAGGGATGCAAAAAGATCACATACAGGTAAATTCAATTATAAAAATAATAATAATGAGAAAATCTTGTCATGAGGGTTGAACGTGCATACATATATGTATACATGCAAATGATAACGATAATAAATTAAAATATTAAACCGTAAAACTCACATGCGGGTTATCTCTTTTATTTAGTTTTTTTTCAACAAACGTGTGTGGAGATTTCACAGCAAAGAAACAGGATTTGAATATGTAATTTCATTTAATTCCCAGCTTTATATATTTTATTTAAATAAATTTAATAGAAAGCCTAGTCATTTTATAAATAAATGTTATTATATATGTAACCTTTATTTCTCTGCTGGAAATTTGAAGTCATGCAAAACAAATAATATAAAACAGCCCCGTTACTTAAAAATTTAAATGAATTGCTCAACATAATAAAAAGTTGTCGTGACGTTTTTAATAATAAAGTCTAAAAACAAAACTTTGTGTTTTGCGTATTTGGGAACTGCTTTTAATAAAATCTGTTTTATTTTTTGAAAACCAAATAAAATTTAATACTAATACGAAAAATAAAATTAGAAAGACAGAGAGATGATTTTACCCGCATGACAGGGTCGTATCCGCGATAATCAGCAGGGGAATGAGACTCCCAGTAATTGTCGTCAGCGGCTGCGTCTGCCCCCTCGAAATAGTCAGGGGCGTCGTTCTAAATTTTTAGAAAAAGGTTTAAGAAAATTAGAAAATTTGATTTTTTCTTTTGGTTTTGATGGGGGCACATAAAATTGTTATTTATATAAAAAAATGTTAGGAAATCTGAAAACATTTGACCAAATTAACTTTAATTTAACAAATTTAAAAAAATGTAATATTAATAGAAAAATATGCAGTTGTACTAACATTAGTACGTCATTTAACTAGAAACTGTACGAAAAAATGTTTAAAATAAAAATTAAATGATTCGAGGGGGGAAATCAATCGGTACTAAAATTGGTCCTCATACTCTCCTCCTTATAGGGGGAACAGGGGGTAACTTTAAAATTTCCAATGGAACAACCTATTTTTTATTGCAGATTCGGATCATTCGACTAAAAATAGGTACATTTTGTCTAAAACATTTTTTCATATTTGTAATAGATGGCGCTGTAACAAAAAAAAATCAATTTTGTTCGACTTTTCTTCTGTATACGATTCTGCAATAATTTTTCCATAAAAATATCACTTTTTTTGGTAATAATTACCTTATTAAATTAAATATGATTTTTTTAAGTACCCACGATTTTTTAACTAATATTTAAGTTTCCTTTGGTTTAAGTTTTATACAATATTTCATTCGGTGATAATTATCAATTGCGCACCATGGTCACTTTTACCTGACAGCATTAAATCCTTTAATTTAAAGGATTATTGTACTATTTTTAATAAAAATACATCATTTAAGGTAAAAAAACATTATTTTGTCAATTAATTAATTTAATCCTTATTGAGGTATAAAAAATGGTATTTAGTTATAAATAATAATTATTATTGAGTTATAAAGAAACTATAGTTTAGCATTATCAATCAATTTAGTTCGAAGATTAATTTGCAAACAAAAAGACCTCCTTTCGTTAAGCAGTTATTCATAATGGATTTTTTAACGGTAGAAGAAAAAATAGAAATGATTTTGATTAGGGATCTTAATGATGCTGTTAATATCTACGCTCAGCGTTTTTCGGAAAAAATTCGATCGCGTACTTCATTTCACCGTAAAGTCAAGCAGTTTACTTTAAACGGGAGTGTGCAAAAATAAATAAATTAAAAAAATAAAACCAAGTATTTTATTTAAAAGTTATTGGAGAATCGTATACAGAAGAAAAATAGAAACGAAATGTTTAGTTTTCATTACAGCACCATCTATTACAAATATGAAAAAATGATTGATTTCCCCCCTCGAATCATTTAATTTTTATTTTAAACATTTCTTCGTAAAATGCATACTAACTTAGATATTTTAAAGTTTCAAGTTAAAGGACTCCCTGTATAGTAAAAGAAAGAAAAAATTTTAAAACTAAGAAAAAACTAAAATATTGCTCGTAATAAATTATTAAAAAAACATTAAAAATTAATAGACTTTTTGTAACCTGGCCTACAAACTTAAATAAAAAGTAGGTACAGCAATAATTCAAAAAAACGTAAAAATATAAATCAGGATTAAAAAGGCGCGACATTGTTTGGAACACAAAACCCGGTAACGCTTATACGTATGTAGGTATGAGAGTGTTAATAAAAAACCCGTGGTAATTATTTTGCATAGTTTGGAAACTTTAGCCGTTCGTTATACGAGCATTTCGAAACTTTGGATCCTATACATTTTGCTAATTTACAGGTCAAAAAATTTCATTGGCCTTTGCCACATTAATATGGCCACAAAAGGGTTTTTATTTGCTGATGTAGAAGATAAAGTGATTATTGGAAACAAATGTTTTTTGATAGTAGGGAATTACCCAGTAATTACGAGAAATATTATCTCACTTAAAAAAAGTTATTTGGAAATAAAAGGCACTTTATCTGAACCAATATAACACAGTACAACACGATTTTCTTCCCACGAAAAATTTCAACAGATTTAGGTTAAAAAAACGTACCCTTGTCTCACCGTTTCACGAAATCACGTCATTTAATTTTTTTACACAACCATTTTTATTATTTTAACCTAAACAAAATTTTAATTCTCTATTTTGTCATAAATCATTTTTTTCTTCAAATATTTTATGTTTTTACACAATACAAAAATTATACCTAAAGAAACTAACAATTTTATTTTTTTTAAGCAAAAAAATATTTCTGGTTTTAATTTTTATTTTTTTTAATAAAACAACAGGTTTGTATTTATCTTGTATTAAATTTATGTTGGAAACAAATCTTGATCTTTGAAAACCGAAAAAATATAGATTTGAAATTTAAAAGCGTTTATATTCCATTAAGTCTATTTTTTAAAAATGTTTTGAACAAAATGAAACTTTGTTATTTCAAATAGAACACCCCATATATTTTTACATTTTTAAATTCTACATAAAATTCTGAGTAAAATTACTATATACCTAAAGTGAATAGTTTTCTAGATGTTTTCTATTAGGTTTACAGATATGGGAGTAACATGTTTGGAATCTTAAAACATTGTTTAAAAAATTCCATGTCAATTTTTAACATTTTTCAACAAATTACCCGAAAAACCCAGGGCAAATTGGGCTAACTTGAAACGTTAATAACTTTTTTATTTTAAATGTAACACCCGGTATGTTAAGAAATTGAGATGGAATCTTTTAAACAATGTTTTAAGATTCCAAAAATTCCGCCCCCATTTTTGCAAACCTAGTAGCAAGAATGTTATAGGCTATTTTTGATTGACGCGTTTTGTCATATTTTAACGGGAAAAATTAATAACTCCAAAACTATTTACTCTAGGTATAGGACATGGTACAGTAATTCTACTCAAAATTTTATGTAGAATTTAAAAATGTAAAAATATATGGGGTGTTCCATTTAAAATAACAAAGTTGATGTCACTTCCGGTCAAGCCGGAAGTGGCATTTTGTTTAAAACATTTTAGAAAAATAGGCTTAATTGGATTATAAACGCTTTAAAAATTTCAAATTGATATCTTTTGCCGTTCGTCAGAAACTCTCAATGGACCACGAACGTGAAACACCCGTATTTCGCAATGTGCAACACCCTGTATATAATTAAAATAATTTTAAAATAAATAAATAATCTTAATGGTTGTCCATTTATTCAGTGAATAAATTTTTCATAAAAATATACTGTCTAGGTTTTATCGAATCTGTTATATTGTGTGCCGAATACCGTGGATAACATTATATTGGATTGCACTTAAAAAAAAATGACGTGACACGGGTATCATTTTTTTAAGTCTATTTTCAAAATCTATAGAAATATTTCATGGGGGAAAAAAACAAATTCTGTCGTACTGTGTAATGGGGTAGTTAAATTTTTTCTGACCTATACTTTTTATGGTTTTATTCAAGGCGTTTTGTAATTTTAAACATTTCTGTGAAATTGGAATTTCTATTGAGTTTACCGTTTTCGAGATATTTACAAAAAAAATCTCCTAATTACGTCACTAGGCTATTGACAACGTTGCCAGCTTTTTCTATGGTTGCCAGTGTCTTTACTTTAAGATTCTTACGATAGATGGCGCCACGTTATAATATTTTAGTTTTAAAACCACTCGATCTATAATTTTAGTTGAGAAGAAGAAGAAGAATTGACGTTTCTTTTTTTCGGGTTATGTTTTTTTTTAAATTTAGATTATTGAAAATCAATGTTACTGTTATGTTATTTATAATTGATATTAGATAAGTGATTTATTAATAACGGACTCCAAAGCAGAGGAATTTTGTGGAATGGTTGGTTACATTGAACATTGGAGCTTTTAAACAAATAAAGTAAGTACCTATAATTATAATCATATTTTGTCGTAAATGCATTTCATTAGTATAATGCCTAGTTCTTTATATTCTTTTAGATATATCTTGGACTCTAAAATATCAAACAGTAATATGATACCTCGTAATAAGGAAGATAGGTACTTAATGAATTTGGTGACCATCTTTCACTCAACTGACAGTGCCAGTATTTGTACATAACCTCTTCGGGTATTTTCTGACATAACCGAATGAAATCATTAACAAGACAACTTGACAACAGGGTAATTTTCAACCAATAGAAATCTTAGAATGTTGTTCACATGGCGAGGTTTGTGACGTCATAAAAATTTATATTTTTTGTAAATATCTCAAAAACGGTAAACTCAATTGAAATTCTGATTTCACAGAAATGTTTAATATTACAAAACGCCTTGAATAAAACCATAAAAAGTATAGGACAGAAAAAATTTAACTACCCCATTGATTAGGATAAGGTGCTTTCTTTACAATTGCAGTTTCACAAATGCGGAGCGAATATAAACCGCGATATTTACCTGAAACATCGATTGATCATAGTCGGCCGATTCATGGCTAGCCGGGATGACAACGCTGTAGGATATCTGTTCGAATTCTGGATTGTTGTCGTTGATGTCGTCCACTTTTACGACAACTCTGGTCGTTGAGGATAAAGGAGGAGAGCCATTATCGCTGATAAGGACCTGGAAAATTGAGGGAATTTAAATAAAATAAGATGGGGATAAGAAGTGAGAATAATTGAATATTATAACGTAAAGTGTTTAAACTTGCAAAACATTTTTATTGTTTTAAATTTATTTATGACTGTCATTATTAATGTAATTTTAGACAAGTAAACTATCAAATAACACACTAGTGTTATTAAAGAAAAACGCTAACGGTTTATTCGAATTTGAAGTCTATAAAATTCGTTGGTTCATTGGAACCAGACGCTCCCATATCGGTACATCTGCTGATAGTGCTGGAAGACGCCGACGCATTAGAACCTTGCATTTTTTCTGCAATTTGTATTTTGTTATGCACCGATTCTTCTAGGTATCCTTCTGCTACCGTCGAGGACTTCCATCCTCCGTGACGCTTCAAAGTAGTCATGTTAGCCCCTGCATTGGCCAAAAGAGTCGCCGAAGACCTTCTCAGGCAGTGACCGGTGTAGAGCGCTGGTTCCTCCAATTTCAAAAACATTGCAATTCTTGAAGGTATCTTCGACAACGTATTTATTCCCACACACTGGCTGGTACACTTCCCAGTTTCGTAAAAAACAAAAAATCGGCTAGGACTAGTATTCTTTGGTCTCAAAGACATGTATTTTTTACACAAATTGATCGGGTTGACTGGAAATCCTTCTTCAAGTATGGTGAAACTTCTAAATTTCTTGGTTTTAGTGTCTGGCAAAACTACGTGAAAATATTTCCCTTTGTTTTGAATATTTTCTATTTTCAAATTGACCAATTCATCGCATCTACAAGCACCGCTAATCCCCATTATCAAAGCCACTTTCATCAACAGTTACTCGTCGTCGGGAGCTTCGTTCAAAAACTTCTCTATTTCAGGTCGTTCTAATGTCTTGGACTTCTTTGGTTTGTATCCCTGTGATTTGCTTTTCAAAGAGCTCGTTAGTTTGCCATATTTTGAAATGTCGATTTTTTTATAAAGGTGAATAGTCGAGCGAAGCATCGAGTATTTGGTCCATAGCGACGATGGGGCTAATTTTTTTTGCAAATGTAAAATAAGCCAATAGAACATTTTCATCGATACCTTTTATCTTCCGTGAATTCATCCAAGACTCAAACATTTTGAACTCCTTGTCGTAAGCATCTCGGGACTTTTCTGGCAAAATCTGCATCGCTGCTTCTTCCGCTTCCGTAAGGATATCCTCAGGAACGTTGTTTTCATCGGTTTCCTCCATTTTCTATTCGTTTTATTCTTAAAAACACTCCTTTGTAACATACCCGTTTGACAGCTGATTATTGAAAGTTATTGTTATGTTACGATGATATGTGGTGGCGCCACTAGCGATATAGTAAGACAAAAGAATGTGCTTGAGTTTAAGACATGAAGCAGATGAAAAAGGCGCAGTGTATAGAGTATAGTATATTAAAGTACAAGTTGCAGAAGGCCACATATTCTCGCACGAATTCGAAATTTGGCCTCGAGCGACGAAGGAGCGAGTGGACGAACGAATGAGTGCCAGAATAGCCTTCTGCAACGTGTGATTTATACTATTTTCTCGATTTTAACTTTTATTTAGGTTTTTTTAATTGTTTTGTGGTCGTTGTTAGTTAGGGGATTTTTCTCGCAAAATGGCAGTTGGCAACACAAAATGACAATATTTGTTATCCTGCACAAGTACAACCTGAACTGCACTTTTTTACATTAAACTTAAAATTTTGCATTAAAATGCATTGTTGGAGCAAACTTAATATTACATAAATATCAATAAAAGTAATGAATTTGAGGTTATTAATCAGTTTGACATTTTGGGGGTACCAATACTTAAAAACTAAATGTTACCAAAAATCGTTTAAGAATGAGCTTCATTCTTCAACGATTTTGCGTGCGAGAATATGACATTCTTACATAAAAATCGAGAAAATAAGTTTTAATAATAACGCGTTGATTCGAAAACACGCCGGTACGTAAGGGGGCAGTTAAAAGCAAAGATGGAGCACAAAAGAAGGAAAAGTAAAACGAAGAAAAAACTCGACGTTCAATAATGCAACTGACAAACAATGGACTCGGCGTTTTTAATGTAATCTAAAGAATAAAATCCATAAATAAAGGCTTTATTGTTGACGATACATACGTAGGTACGAAGTGTCTCATAATTTTTAATTTCATTTTAGTAGAAAAATATTTCGGTAATTTGGAGAACCAGGATTTCGTTAATATTAATAATAATTTTAATATTATAAGTTCACTAAAATTTGATGAAAAGGGTGCAAACTATTTGAGAAATTAATTAATACAAACAAATATTGGCGAATCACGAATGCTAATTAAACCACAACCTTGAGCGACGAGTTTAATAAATACATAGAAGGTGGTATATTCAATTAGTTCCCTTTCTCCAAATTTTTCACAGTGGGTCAAAAATACCCAACAATAAAAACTTCAAATGTAATAAAGCAGATTTAAAAAAATACTAAATGGGTCGTTTTCCAAAAATACCCGCCTTCCGCTGTCCGTAAGTTTGAATTCCAATAACTTTGTTAAAAATTATCGGATCTTATTGATTTAAAAACCAAGTGAAAGCCTAACAACAACAACCCTTAGTAACTCTTTTTTAATCTACTTTTTTAAATTTGACTCATGTCCCAGACATTTTTTCCGTTGCGTTACGTCTGTCGCGTTACCGATAGAATATTAAAAAAACACATATATGGCAACTTTTTTGGCACTCACGTAATCAACAAATGATGTTCGGACGTACACATTACCCAGCTGAATTTATTTATTCAATCAGGAAGAAGATATCGGTTGAAACAGGTGCAGGTAACGCGACTGTAATAATTGTTTGTCCGCTAAGTTACCCAAAAAAATAATAAAAATAAGGTAAGAAAAAATACTATTTTTCATGTTTATGTTTATTTTAGGGCACTAAAGATCATTGAGAGTAATTAATGACTATAATGTCTTATTATTTTTTAAATATAGTTTCACAAAACTTTTTCCACTGCGTTACCGAGTCCATTATGTTACCTTATGGTAACGCAATGGAATTTAGGGTAACGCAATAGATTTTTTCGACAACCAAGTGGATATTTACCGTCGCTTTTATTAAAAGTAGTTTATGATAAACCAATTTAAAATTATTTGTGATTACAACTCATGATATAGATTTCATCCAAGGGAAAATTCCACGCAATATATAAGTACTAAAAGACACCAGCTTATAGTCAAAGAAAAAGGGTGTCTATAATTTATAAATCTAAGTTTTGTTTATGCATTACTCTAAAATCGTACCACCCTATATAGTTTCTTTTTTACGATATCAAGTCCTTTGTGTACCCCTGTCCGTTCTGATACCAATGTCTATTTCGTTACTTTTTTAGTTTTTGTTAAAAAATTACAATACAATTTTTTAATAAATATAACAAAAAAGTAGTTTGTCTTAATATAGTAAAGATCCCTATTCGTCCAACAATTGCTTTTGTTACAGCAAAAAGATCATTTTTATAAAAAAAAATTATCTACAAACGCTGCTTTTAGTAATAGCATTTGCATTAATTATAAAGTAAATTTACGATATGTTTATAAAAATAACACTCTTCCAGATGCAGAAACGGATTGATAAATATAGTTATTATTATTCGTCCAAAAAACAGTTCTATATCGTTTACAAAAACGTTTTGTAGTATTAATGAAACCCTAATGGTATTATTCACAGAAATTTTGTAAATTATACAAATCCCTTTTCCTTTAAAATAAAACTTTTTTTATAATATTAATAAAATTTATGTAAATTTAACAAAAAATTAATTGTTAATTCAATATACTATTTTTATTGTAACAATGGTCACATTTTCAACCTACTGATGGGTGTAAAACAAATTATTTATTATAACAAAAAAATTAACTCATATTATATGATGTACAAGATAAAACAAATATGAACTAACTATTTAAACAACAAGTCTGCTTCGTTTATAGAATAGACCTTAAATATTTCTTTTAGAAAACGTCGAAATTTTAATTTTCTTAGTGATCTTTTTGATATTTTTATCATGCTAGATTTTGCCACATTTCACTCGCAAAAGTGAAATCAATAAGATTATAACACAGACTGGATTATAAAGTTATGTTCACCAAGGAGAGCGCTGGCCCTTTCCCCCTCTTTTTAAGGGAAATAACAAAAATTGTTACCATTGCAAAACAATAGTAAATATTAAAAAAGTCTTTTTATGGCAATAAAATATTTTTGCTATTGTTCTTAACGTAAGCTATTAACAAAGATTTTCTAACTGAAAAAAAGTTTATTCTGTAAATAAAAATAATCTTATTACTTTGACAAATCGTAGGTTTTTGTCCCAATAAGACACTGAAAATTTAATAAAAAAGGTACCCAAATACTTCCTTGCCCCACTGTGTAAAAAGGGTGTATTGCTTTTATTTACTCTTTCGACTAAAAGTCTTTTGTTTTTGCTTAATGGCTCTCTTGTAAGATTAACAACGCTTCCATTTCTGTTTAAATTTTCAATTAAAGCCATAAACCGAACGGACGTTTTACGTAGCGGTCGGTTTTATTGTAAACGTTTTGAATTTTTAATTTTAATTTGCAATTTTAGGCACCGGCCAAGTTTTAATGACGCGTCGTAAAATCAAATATGCGTTTCAGCCCTTTTTACGACTTTTAAATTCAACAACTTTTCAGGTAGGTAATCGAAATCATAAATTAGGCACTAAAACATTGTTTATTAGCTACAGTAAAAAGTAAACAACAATTTTTAATGAAAATGACGGTGTTTTAAGTTTCTGAGACTATATGGGTGATTCTACAAAAGTTGGGCTTTTGACCTCATTTTGTTTATAAAGTTTTCGAAAAAAATTAAACAGTATTTTGTTATGAGTCACTTTTTCAAACAGTTTCTGAAATATCTGTGATTTCTAAATTTGAATGCAAGGGAAGTGACGAGTATACCAGGGTACTAATTAAATACATAATTTATTGCAAAATATAAGATTT